ATTTTAAGTATTTTGTTTGGCTCGGTCGTGTATTGAATGCTGACGAAGTTCATTGCCTGCAATCAGAAAATAACATAAATATTCCAAAAGTAGTGCTCTCGTGACTTTCAATTAACAATATTGACTTTCAATTTTATAAATCGTATTTTCTCGTTCGTGCGATAAACACTTTAAAATCGGGTTATCAACATTAAAAGTTTAGGTATTTATGATACTGGACTAGCCGGTCCGTGTCTACGACTTTTGACGGCCCGGATATACAAGCCCGGATTAAGACATTTTCAGGTCCAGGGGCCAAAGATTTAAATGAGGCCCTTGTATGAAAAAAAAAATATGTATTATTCAATATTAGGTACCTGTTATAATAAATATATATATATTGTATAGGTATTAGGAACATAGCAATAAATAATGAATAATGTATTACTTTATTTATAAATTATAATTTACACTAAATGATCATCGGTTTATTTTTTAGGTGATTTATGTAGCGTTATAGCCTATAACTAAAAAAGTAATGTGGACAGATCTGAGGCCCCTAAATAAATTCTAACTATCAAGACACGGGGGTCATGCCCTCCCCCCCTTGGACCCTCCTCTATTTAATCCGGTCTTTATCATATACCTAAATTGATTATTAATATATTTTATGTACAGTTATATTTTATAACCCAGTTTCCGTCTACGTATACTTATGCATCTATATTATACAGGAAAATTCGTCAAATTTGCTTTAAATTGTTATCTAGAAAATCGCTCTATAAACGTCTTAGAGTACCTATGCGGCATACTATGCTATGCCTACCAATAATATAGGTGAACATTTGGAATGAAACCGTTTAAGTAACCGAAACCAAAATGTCGTGCAAATATTACTTAAATTATTGTAAAAAAGTTTGAGGTGTAGAAAAAATTGCATGTACCTATACATAATGAAGTGCAGAGGCCAAAACATTCCATCGAGTTAGATATCGAAAATTTGACTTATAAACGTTCGAATTATAGAGGTTTCACTGTACATAGTTCAACAATAAATTAAGGGCAAACGAACAATTTTTTTAACCAAAATGTAGCAATATTTTTTGTCCATCATGTCGATGGACCTGATAGGACGCGATAAGACTTCTGAAAACTGATTTGAATTCGTTAATACGCGTCTACTTGAGATCGATTGGACTACTTTTTTAAAATGTTATTCCTAAACTCCTATTCATTTTGTTTGAATATTTATAATTTACGAAATTTTAAATGTTGACCATTCGAAAATTAAATGAAAAAGTCGATTCAGATGAGCCTGATTTGTATTGTTATTGTGCATTGAAGCAGATATTTTCAATGAGAGTTGCTTTATAAGGAAAACTATTTGCATACGTAATATTATGTAGGTATACATAATATATTAAAATTTTTACAAATTGTTATACATCTCTACCAATACGTCATATAGTAAAACAATACCAGGTTGTGGTATACGCCTCTGTGCGTACGTCACTGACGAGTCGAGTATATAATATATTTTATACCTACATCTCCATAAATGTTCGTATTGTGTAAGTACCTAGTGAAGTTTGAGGTTTAAACGGTCGAAGAATTTTAACAAGAATAATAAACAGTAATAATCACGACGACTTTATTATATTATGCGACTACCTCATAATTAGGGACTGGAATTATATTCTTTTGCATATTTTTTTTGAGTCTATGCAGTCAGACGGGGGTTCGAAATCTTTACAAATCATGAAACATGTGAGTTAATGGCAAAAGTTTTTTTTGCATATTTGGGAATATTTCAAGACAAAAGAATATTTCGCATAATAAAGAATATTAGAGAATATATCGATTAATTTTTGTAGATATTTTTTGTTGCAGTGGCGTAAATAATATAAATGAGCACATATATAAAAAGATTTTAACCGACCGTTGTACAAATATGACACCAGATAGTTGTCAACTGTTTTCAACAATTTTTTTAGTTGAAAATTTAAAATAATTGAATATTAAATATTATTATTAATAATTTAATCAAATTTTTCTTAACATGTAGTATTAATTTTCATTACGTAGGTACGTATTTATATCAGGTTTTTGTATTATTTTGCATATTATGTATTTATTTATATAAGATTGTAATATTTGCTTAATTATTTTTCATATGAATAAATATTTTTAGTTAAAGAGAATATTTTAAACTTTTTAAGAGAATATTAGCATCTTATTTAAAAGAATATAATTCCGGCCCCTACTCATAACATTATACAGGCCTAACACGCATTAATTGACCTATATACCTAAATAAATGAGGAATTGTAAGTTCCTACACTTGAGTAGCAGGTAAACAATTACATACTTTAGTTCCTACACGGACGTATGTAAGTTCCTATACGGTGAAAACCAGGTATTAGGTAAGTGTGTTATTCTTACATACATGGTGAAAAAATTAAACATATTGTATATAGTACATACGAATTTTCACAAATAAATATATGACGATTGAAATAAAATAAGAAAAAAAACAATGTACAAACTATGGAAAAAAAGCAGGTATGCGGATGTCGCTCTGCTGTACAGTATGTTACAAGTGGGTCACTGTATAATGGATGGTATTAAATTTGAATTCAATGACATCATATTATTGTATACGAAAAACGATTCTGAGTGGAGACGGTTTGTCAGTCTGGATTTTTATATTGTTATTATATTTTATTATAGTCTGCAAGTTGAATTAATTATTAAATTACATGTAAATATTGTATTTCAATATAAATTACAACAAAATAACTAACAACTTCGTTTTTATTTTTATTCGTTTCCACGGCGATATACAAAGCGTTAGAAATTAAAATCCCATTATAATTTCAATTATTATTAAAACCCGTAGAAACCACTTATAAACAACGATGGTTTTTGAGCCCCTCCTCGGGTTGGACCTCTAATTTACCCTTTTTAAAATAACCCATTTTTTGCTCAGAAGTCTATCTATCTCTGTACCAAATTTCATAAATATTGGTCTAGCCGTTTACATTAATTTTTATATAATACATTTTTATGATATTTGTTGATCGTCATATTATTATTTTATATTTATTTGTGAAAACGCGTTATACGATTTTTATTATATTTTTTTAATCATCATATATTTATTTTTGAAAATTCATATATACCTACCTACATGTTTATTTTTTTCCACCGTGTTGGAACTAACATACGTATCTGGTTTTTACCTTGTATGAACTTACATAATTATACCATTTTCTATCGTGTAGGAACTTACACATTCACCCAAATAAATATTATGAAAAATATTGTCATTTTCCGTGTGCGCGTATAACAATAATTGCTGTCTATATAAATATAATTGATAAGCAAACAAAATACAGCAGATACAAAATATTACAATTTACAATAAATACCTGATATGTAACATAAAATGGTATCGACATACTCACTCAAGGCTAATGAACACACTTTATTCCTTGGTTAACTATAAATCAACACTCCAAATGAAATCGTCTATCCTACCGCTGTACACCTCAACAATCCGGCCATTAATCACTTCTATACCTATCCAACCCGGGCAGCAGCTCCTTCTAAAAAAATCAACCAAGTCCATGTAGGTACTACTGAAAACAATTTTTTGAGAATATATTGTCTTAAAGCCCCACGGTTCACGAGGAACAGTAAAATTCACAACGATGTACGGGAATCCATCTTCTCCAAGACTGGATAAAAATACAATTCAATAACTTTCACGAGAACCTCAATACATCCGACGGCCGAAGTACCTAATGGCTATTGTGATATGATTAATTTGGAATTTATTGTAGGTCAATTTTTTTTAATACCATAGATCTGTATATAATAATATGTCTTATACCTCGATGGACATACTGTCTCCGCTCAGAATCGTTTTTCTTATACAATGATATATTATATCATTGAATCCAAAATTAATACCATCCATTATACAGTGACCCGCTTGTAACCTACTGTACAGCAGAGCTACTTTATTATTATTATTATTATTAATTAATTCGCTTAAACACAATAGGCCATCGGGTAAGGTTGGGTAGAACACGTGTGTAGATTTAGGGAGGATTGTTGTCAACTAGTGGCATCAGCTGATGCTTGACTTCAGGACAAGTTTTGTGACTGAAGCCAACCACCGCTACAGCCCGGGGCCACGAAAAAAGTGATATTATTATAACATATACCAGCTATTCTATACCTATAAATGGTCTATATACTACCCATATAATATATTTATTATAAAAAAGCCTAACTAGAGTACCCTTATAATGTATATATGCAGTGTTTTTTTTTTGAATTCAATACGATTTTTTATAAGTAAAATGGCTAATCTGCTCGTTTGTAATTATTATTTCGAAGCATTTGTCAAATCAAGGTGACATAATATATATACACAATACAGAGAGAGAGAGAGAAGCGAGAGAGAGAGAGAGAGAGAGAGAGAGAGAGAGAGAGAGAGAGAGTTGAAATAAAATATGAGTCATTGTTTATTTTATTACACGCTGCAACCTATAACAGTACGAAGAAACTGAAGTATGACTATGTATAGTTCATTCGATTTTCAAGTTTCGGCGTGCGGTTTACCGGGGGAACGTACCGCGGGCCCATATCGGACTCGGACTCCGATACCAGTCGGTGGGTAAAAATATATACTAACCTAACGCATCGAAGTTTTCATCTCGGACATTTTGATTATATAATATTATAATCTTATAATATACCTAGTTAGTGGTTTCTAAACCCCGGTCGTGGTTCCACCATGCCTACTGCAGGTAGTATTCTCCGCTCGGCACTAGGCCGGTGGTGCTGCAGGCCAGAAGGCCCGCTTCGACTCGTCTGCGGTGCAGGTTTTGGCGGTGATGATGGTGGTGGTGATGGTGGCGGCGTCGGTGACGGCGACGGGAGGAGGCGGGTCCGGCGGCTGGGTCGCAGTCGTCGTCGCCGTCGTCGTCCACGTCGCCGCCGCCGAGTTGCTATTGTTGTTGTTGTTGTTGTTGTTTCGATCCGCCGGCCGCGGTGGTCGTCGTCGTGGTAGCAGTCGAAGTGGTCGTGGTGGTGTTGGTCGTGGTCGTCGCCACCGTCGCCGCCGCCACAGTGGCCACAGTGGCGACCGACGACTGCTGCATCGACGACGCATGTTCGTCTGCCTTTAGCGACGACGACAACGACGGCGTGGCGGCGGCGGTGGCGGCCACCGCCGATTGCGCTCGGTTTGCGGACAGATCGTCTGCCGCCGACGACGAAGCGGCTGCGGCTGACGATGAGGACGACGACGGCGGCGGCGGCGGCGGCGGCTGCTGCTGGTGGTGCCTCTTGCCGGGCGACGAGGCCGCGTCCACGGTGGCCGCCGCGGCCGAGTGCACGCAACACGTCTGGTGGTGCGTTTCCCAGTCCTTGTGCTGGCAGAACGAACTGCAATACTGCGCCGTGTTGCACCCGCTGCACGTCTCGTTCGCCTTCCGGCCGCAGTTCCAACAGCTCTGCGCACAACACGCACACACATTTATTGTTATGATAGGGACAGTGTCTGTGCATTCGTACAATACTAAACTAATGTCTAATTGATTAAGCTGTTATTTAAGGGGTCACTCGAATTTATACGAAAAACGATTTAATGACGTGGTCGGGTAGACTGTTTTTCATATCGTACATTGTCATATCAGACTTTTTCGACAGGTATACATTTTGTGGTAAGCAAAAATGATTATAATAATTCGCACTGTGAGCACAGCACATATTATATTATTTATAGAGTAGCATACGAAAATTGACGATTTTGAGAATTCGCGTTTTGAAAATTTTAATATTATCACCGATAAATAAAAACATATTTCTTATAAATGTTTGAAATTTTGGTATTATAATTATTAAAAGTGTATAATTATGTTACGTTTAAATGTTATTGAATATTGTTTTCATTGATTAAACAACTTTTTTTTAATTACTCAACTGTTGCATTTTAATATTAACTGCAAAATAACTGTTAGAATGTAAAAATAAAAACGAAATAACTAAAAATTAAAAAATTAAAAATAAATATAGTTCTTCTGGTAAATTTATTTAAATATTATAAAATATTTATAAACAATTTGTATTTATTGTAATGTTTACAATTAGTATGGTATTCTCACTGTACTCCAGTGAAATTAATAATTAAATACAAATTAAAAAAAAATATAGCAAATGGCCTGAACCAAAATTGAGAAATACAATAATTATAATCATATATATTTATGTAGATAGTAGGTACATAATAAATGTTTGTAAATTTTAAACATACGTTTGTGCATTACGGTAATATCATAAAATAATGCACTAAGAATGAGTTGAATTTATTTTTTTCTTTTAATGTTATTAGTACTATTTTATAGGGTTTAACGCATTCAATTTTCATAGTACGATATAATACATTCTGGCCAGTGAAGTGGTCATAAAAAAAATTTTAAGGTACACTTTTTAATCACTGTCAAAAATAACTTAGGGGGGGGGGCCTAACTTAACCTGCGTATCACGACTTTCGTTAAGGGTACAAGCAATATAAATATAAAATTAGGAGTCGGGTACCCTTCACTACACCACTGACTATAGAGCATTGTAAAGAATGCTATTTTTAGTTTTTACCATAAGAAAACATAATTATATGTATAACTTGAAATCGTCAATTTTTGTGTTACCATTCACTAATGCGTAGGTACTCGCAGTGGTTTATGTCTTATCTACTTATTTATCCGTAATAAGTTTTAGGAAACAAAGTACAAAAATTAAAAATGTCCATACTTCAAATTTTAAAATATTCATTTTGATATTAATAAAACGCTTTTTAATACAATAACTTAATCCATTAATAAAATATATTAAATATTATATTTTGTAAATAATTTTGTTTGTAATGTATTTTAAAAGTTATAAAATGTATTCGTTTTTTCCGGAAACAGAGGCGTATTTATAAATAATAAATAAAACATATTTGTAATTGATTTTTGCACGATGGTTAGGTTTCAATAAAAGTAATAATTGTAATCTTATTCGTAAGTATTCGATTCTAATTTTTGTTGTCTTAAAAATTATATTTGTAAAAACATTTACATGCTATATTTTCTTCTAATTAATGATTATAACATATTAATATATAATATGAGTGAGTGTGGTGATTGTACATTTTTTAAAAGTTTGAAAACTATGAACATTTTATAATTTATCGTGTTAATTTCCTATCAAATAAATCGCTTGAAATCATTTAGCTATAGTTTATATTTTAAGCTACATAGTTAGAATACCCATTTAAAACTGTTTAATTGTATTACCATTTAGCAGTTTTAATATTATTCTATTGAATATAATAATATAGGAAATACAAAATAAATATATCGTGGTAATAGATGTGCATTTTTATCTATTATTAAAAATTAAATATTTTTTCTTCTGTATAAAATATGTTTAGTGTACAACCGTTTTTCTACATTGATCAGTTTTTTTTTATTGTTTGGGTTATTTCCACAATTTTACAACAAGACAACAATAGTCACAACTATTTATAGTTGAGAAATATGTTCTATTTAACACGCAGGTTGGCCCTACATCGACACCCTACCAACACGACTATCCAAAACGACTTGCAACTTTTGGGAAAAAAATTCATTTTTCTATTATGTTTTTATCGTTATTGTTTTTTTTTAAGTTTATATAATTTTGAACGACATTTTTAATTTAAAATTCAGAAGCAGAATCGTCTTCAGAATATTTCGATCTATAAAAATCAAATTTTGGATATTATATTTGCTATTAGTATTCAAAGTTTAGATGAGCAGATATATGGACCAACATTTTGGAGTATAGGTACACCCGTACCACTCCAAACTACTCGTCTAAACTTTAAATACATATAAAACCATAAACTATAAACGTCCAACATTTTTTCTGTTTTTATTTATCGAAGAGCTCAAAAATCCGACATAGGTCAAAAATGTCTTGCGATAATATTATTTTTTGAATTATGTAAAAATGCACTCACAAAGTGCGATATTCCAATAATATTATTAGGGGCCATATTACAATAGGTAAACTAAGGCAAAACCACCGAATTCAAACGGTAAAACCAGTGGGTGCGTAGACTTACGTATACGATGCACAATGCACATTGTACTTACTCAAGTAGCCCGATCTTCTTTTGGGTGATAAAATATAAATAAAGAAAAACACAGTAGGCTGCTGCACTACTGAGTGTTGCACATGCACTTTATGTATTGAAAAGAGACAACGTTATCGGTCAAATCGTTGTGGGAGAGAGAGGTCCGACCAGTACTATTTTGTGCAGCAGACTCTCAAAGTACAGATGATAAGTATTTAAAGTTTAGTTGAGCTGGACAAACCAGTGGCCTAGCACATGCGTGTGCTGTGTATGCACAGCATACACTTTACAAAATGAAAAAAAATATATATTAATAATGCTACATTTTCATAAAAATGTTTTAAATTTCATCGCACTGATTTAGTGCTTCATAGTATAATATTTTGTGAATTTTTTTCCTAGTTCATTATTAATCCCTAGGATTGATTAATCCGTAACACCACGGCTGCGACGTGCTATAGTCCTTATATCTAGTGGCTAGTATTCCAGTAAGGTACCTTGTTTATTATGTAAGCAGTATGCAAGTAGGCGATTGCATAAGGTGTACAGACTTTCAGCTACAGTCAATAATTATAGTTCTTATCGATAATATTAATAACAAAACATAGAACGTTTGTGGTCGTGTATTCGTCGCTCGTGTATTCGTGTATGGGCTGAAACACGATTGAGCATAAAACACCTTTTTTTGCGACACGATTGAGCCAAATTGTCGCCTTATCAAAGGAGATCAGAATACAAAAGAAAACCTACTTGAGCATAAAAAACTCTGCAACGTTGCCATTTTTCATTTTAAACTATATTATACAAAAAGATTTATTTAAATAACTATTATAATTCAAAATATAATATATCAAAAAAATTACATAATAATAATGATAATGATGATAAATAATAATAATAATAATAGTTATGAAAATAATAAAATCAAAATATGGTACGAAATAAAAAAAAATACTGCATGGTTTATAACTTTATAAGTCAAGAATGCTGTAGATTATGTGTGATCGAACACTGATATTATTTAAATGATAATTTTGGAATTGTATGTTAATTTATAATCTTGTGTTTTCCTTTAATTTTAAATTTTTAAAACTTCGGAACTTTATTGCTCCGGAACTAATTTATTAACCGATAACATTGTCGATAAAGCTGGGCTCAGCTCACGACTCGCGTCTGGTATCATAACAATTATTGGTGCAATAATATGTGAAAATAATAAATTACAACATTTCGTCCACGTAAATGTGGCAACATCGCATAAAATATTCTATGCTCAATCGTGTTGCTAAAAAGGTATATGCTCAATCGTTTTCTGCTCAATCGTGCTTTACCGCGTGTATGCGGGATCAGTATCGCTATCGTTGACAGTCAATATTATTGTAATATTGTAAGTGTTAACGTGTATTAATTTTTAAAAAGCAATTTACTTTTTATTTATTAAATATAATATTTTGTTATGTACTAGGTAATGCAATACTTATATTAATGACTACGTAAAACTTTGTATGTCTAAAGTAAAATTTTAAAAACTGTATAGGGGTTGTGGGGGGGCATAGCCCCCTACGATTCCATTAACTTACTATTTCAACGCATACGCTAAGCTGAAACCCACGCTACGCCACTGGGACAAACATTTCGCCGAATAACCCACTCCACTCTGATCATCAAAACTTTAAATACCTACTTATAACTCATGTCATAAACTACCAGCCCTAAATTCAAGTTTTATGTATCGAAATACTTGGAAAAATAAAATGGAACATGAAATTAAAACTTTATGTTGTTATTCAAAAAAGTAAGAAACTTAAAAAAATTATTTAAAAATATCATTTTTTAATAACAACGTTGTTTCGTAAACGACTTGAAACTATGTAAAAAAATATTTTCAAAAACATTTATACATTTTTTGAAACAACGAGTGTTTATTATGATAAACGAATCACATTATATGTAATGATCACCGGAACGGTCGCGAACGGTCGAATAATTAGTTATATTATAATATTGTAATAATTCACATATCACTACATATCACTATGGTTTTGCGCAAAGGTCGTGCCCATGTCAAAATCAGTGAACTCTGTCGATCGGCCCCTGTCGGAATTAATATTGTAATATACCCACTCGCGTAGTCAGTGGTTTGGAGATCTGATGCCCATTTATATCTATTCAACATTATAATAACCTGACCCGACTGCCTATAGTATGCTTAGTTTAATTTTCGACCTTAGTGTTTTTACTGCGATCGCTCGACAAACTGACCGGAATCGTTCGACCAGGCAGATTAGAACCGCGGTTAATTTAGCGTAAAGGACGCTCGTTGTTCAAAAAGTATCGATGTTTTTGAAAACA